ACGCGACGCTGATTTTTTCGAGTTAGAACCTGAAAGTTTGAGACGTTGTTTGGAACAATCTCACCAAGACACCAATTGAAAACCCGAAGCTTTTTTTTTTTTTTTGCCGACTTACACCCGTCTTTGTATTCCTGGAAAAGTGGAAGTTGGCCATATCTCGGGAAAAAAAGCAAAAAATGCTGGGGGTTTTCAATTGGCGTCTTGAGGAGAACGTCCCAAATCACGTGTCAAAAATTTAGGTTCTAACTCGAAAAATTCAGCGTCGCGTGGCCATATTGGCGAGTCCCGGCTGTCTTGGCCGGACCAGCTTGTATAAGCTCGCAAACTACAGGCAAGTTGCAAGAACAAACAAACATGATGGGATTTTCGCAGGTCGGACAACTGAGAAGAAGTGTGTGAGCAACAACCTTCTCCACGTACGTGTCACAAAGGGTCAATGTTCCAATAATAATTGACTGTCTCGATTATTATTACAGTTAGTTGCACTCTCCTGCGAACCGAGCTTGATGTCGTTACCCTGACAGTTGTAGTGCCACGTGGTTGGCGCGCTGGCCACTCAGTACTGTAGACACAACGCGGGAAAGGCGTTGGTGTCTGGGTCTGCCAGATGCTGCTGCTGTATGCAACATCTGAATAGATAGATAGTTTCCATCAATCACAGTGAGAGTCGAGCGCGCTTTATTCGGCATGCAGCGCCCCATTACCCTGATCTACCTCGATGTGGCGCGGATCCGACTATCGCATATAGCAGGAGTTCTTTGGACTCGCTTTGACTGGTTCTGGGCTTGCTCTTTGATCGCTGGGAGAGCGACACAGAGAGTGGGGGGGGCTCGCGCTGCCCTCTCCTCCTGACTCTCCGCATCTTCTATCAACCATCAACCATCAACTGCCTTGGACGATTTCCGTGGGCAAGGGGCTCTCTACGTATGTCGAAACCGTGGAACACACCGCACCCCCCCCCCCCCCCCCCGGTCGACAAGTTATACTAGCACGGGCGCCTGGGGA